TGATATTGAGTATTTTTTCATATGCCCATTGGCCATTTGTATGTCTTCATTGGAGAATTGCTTGTTTAGGTCCTCTGCCCATTTTTGGATTAGGTTGTTTGTTTGTTTTGTTATTAAGTTTATATTTTCTGTTTATATATTCTGGAAATTAAGCCTTTGTCAGTCACATCATTTGCAAATATTTTCTCCCCTTCCGTAGGTTGTCGTTTTGTTTTGCTTAGACTCGTATATTATTTGTATACGTCTTTATTGTTTGCCTTTGCCCACCAGAACTCAAGCTTTGGAGAGGAAGGACTTGGCTTATGTACTACTGTATCCTCAGTTTCTAGTATACTTGTTGAATAAAATTGTGTCATTTTTATTGCAAGGCACAGTTCCTGAGATACAGTTTCACACAGGCAGACAGACATGGAAACAGGGAGTGCTGTGAAAAAAAAAAGTAGTGATAGTGAAATGCCATATTCAGGTTAAGTAAAACTGGGGTTCTAACCAGAACTGGCAGATGCTAAATTCCAAATTCCTTTCTCCTAACTCTTGATTATTATTTTTCTGTTTATTATTTCTTTGTGCTTACCAGAAAGGGAGCTGTCTAGCGGATTGATTGTAATTTAGTGCCTGGCACACGTTAATAATAAATTGAATTGAAATAATAACAAAATCTAATATTATTACTGTTGGAAATTCATGAGGCAAAAAAAGATGGAACATCTCCATTAAATCAGTATTTTTAAAAATTATTATTATTGATGCAAATTCATTTATATTATCATAAGTTAGTCTCATAATTACAGTATTTATTCATTGAAATACATTGAACCCATTATTTGGGATACTGAGAAAAAGATTTCAGATAATTATTTTTATTTTTCCAAAGGATTGAAACAACTGGTTTCAGCTGCAGTGTGCATTTGTAAGGCATTAACTATATTTTTGCATCTATTTGCCATGGCTTTTGAAAGCAAAGTTTGGCTAGATGGAGGGGAAAGGGGAGAAAAATATAAAAACTCTT